TCTTTTACTAAAAAATATACTTCTTTCTACCAAGTCTTAATTTTTGTTAGTCTTAGGTAAAGCTGCAATTAATTGACTATGTGCCTCTGAGGTGGTAAAAATGTTTTCTTTTGCCAGAATTCATTTTAAAAATCCCAGGTGTCCACACTTTTCACTCTTTCTCTGTAAAGAGAGTCTCTCCACGGCAAATTTAGGGGACTGTTAAGCAGCTCTCTGATACTTCAAGTTATGAATAATCAATTGTAGTACACAATAAGCATAAGAAATGAGACATTTAAAGTGCATCTTTTTGTGAAAGTATTTTAATATCAAAAATGTGCATTTGAAATCTCAGGAATTTTGCTATGCTACATATTAATTTATATACTTTGGCCCCATGGCCTTTACATTTTTAAATTTAACATAATTAGTTAACTGTATAAATTTTATGGCCACATTGAAGTGGAAATGGTGAAGAAAACCACTGGGTAAGTTAAGTTATTGCCTACCTCGTTTGCTCAGAGATCTTTTTCCCAGTTGCTGACATTGTATAGTATACATCGTAGGCCCTCAATCAACACTTGTTGAAAAATGAGTTAAAGTCATCCCTTTGTTCAAGGTTTTTGTTAGTTATTTAATCTGCAGTTATTCAATGATTCATTTTTGTCATTGAAAGATCACTTATTAATTAATATGATCATACTATATATAATAACATCCCTTGTATTGGACAAAAGAGAGTCCTTATTCAGTTTCCACATTTTCAGACAAACTAGTATTCATTCACAGCTAATTAATAAGTATGTCAGATAACGTGATTTCCTGCTGCAAATGCTCCAATACCTGTTCCTCTCACTCTGCCTTAAAGTCATAAGGTTGATGGTCTGGTATCTTTCGTGACCTGCCCCAATCCACACATCACCACAGATCGTACCATTAACCTATCTCCTACTCCTCTAGTGCTCTCTCCTTCCTCATTCAGCCTCCTGCTCCTGCTGCTTGTGGAAATTGCTCGAAGCAGGAGCTCCTTCACACCTCAGGGCCTTTGTACTACCTGTTTTGTCTATCTGGAATATTCTTTCTCCAAAAATGCAAAGCTCTGTCCCATATTGCCTTTACATCTTTATTCAAAGAACAAATTTTCATTTGCTGATCATCAGATTTAAAACTACAAGCACACCCCCCAGAAATTTGTAAACCTTTGTTGTCTTTATTTCTTCTAAAAAATAATCTCATCAGACACTGTACATTTTGCCAATTTATTTTATTTTCTTGTTCCATTCATAAAAAGATAATCCCTCGATGGAGGGATTTTTACATATCCCGGTGACAGCTTGTCCCAGTTGCTAGAGCAGAGCCCAGCACAAAGCCGGTACGCGGGCACAGAGAGAACGTTTGCTGAATATGAGAAACTCTTCATTCTGGAACTGCCAAGATAAAGTAATGATGGAATGATGGCATTTATTTTCATTCACTTTGAATCTACTTGGATGAGCACTGGTGCCATTTCTTTAGTATTAGCAGGGATTTAAAAACAAAGGATCCAGATGGTCAGATATACAATAATAGTGAAAGGCATATAGAAGTATGATTTAAATTTGTGCCAAATTGGCAGCAACATCTGAGCAGCTTCATCAGTCTGTATTCTTTACAGATTCTCCAAATCATCTCTCTAAATAGTCCGTGGATGCTCCTTAGGGGAGAAAAATAAAGAATAGTTCCAAATTTTAAGCTTTGTTCGGGGTGTGTGTCTCTGAGCTTATAGCCAATTCAATTAAGCCTGACCCAATGTTTTTTCATTAGCGTTTCCTTTGATACATGTTTAAATGATCTCATTCATTTCAGCATCACAGTCTTCAATAACAAATTCTGATTCTGCTACATGACAGCAGTAAATACATGATATTTAACTTGGGAAATGTTCTGCTAAGTCATGAGATAAAAAAATCTATAGATCAAGGACAGTATCTATCCTCATAAGGAAATGGTTGACATTTTGGACAAAGAGTTTTAGGAAAGATTCGAACATCTTTTTACTAAAAGAAGAAGATGGGTTAACCAGGAAAGAATAATTCCTCAATTAGTAGGAAATCCTGAGGCAGCTAATATTATTCACTTTGAAGAAGTTTTGGTTTTGCAACATTGTAATTTATGTGCAATGACAGGAAATATAAGAGAAAGGAAATTTGCTCCCTTCCACACTGGAAAGGTTTTGAAGAAAGAGGTTTGAATCATCAGTAACACTTTAGAAATAAATAGAATTACATCATCTCATAAAAATCCTTTAAGAAATGAAGAAATTTATATTACATCCTTACATCTATAATAGGCTTTTATTTTTTAAAGTAAGACAGTATGTTTTTAAATTCTTGCTTTCTGAAAAAAGTAATTTGCCAATATTATCTGATTCAGAACAATTTTAGTAAAATGTCTAAGATATTAAATACTGCAGGCTTGATGTGGGAAGATACAGTGAATTTTCCAGTTTTCTTGAACAATAAAGAGGAGGGCAAATTAAGATAATAAAAACCTCTATCTAACCACAAACTAATGCTTCCTTTTATATATTCATTTTATTTTATTTATTTTTCATATTATGGGCCCAAGGGTGCATTAAATACCCTTTACATCATTTTTATATTGATTTATTACATTCAGGCAACAACCCTGAATGGTTGATTTTATATGCAGAAAATTAAGGCTCAGAGCTGTCAAAGAATAAAACTAAGAAGCTATTTTTTTGCTTGCTGAGCAAGGGAGAGCTACAGCATGTGAGAAAATTTAGAAAGGTTTCCTGATAGCTGAGAAAAAGACTAGGAAGTAATGTGTTGCTTATTAAGAGAGGCGCCATACCTGCCTACCATCATCAGCTTGAGAGCGTTGGATCCAAGCCTTGATGCAGGTAAACTGACTTCAAACCAACACATGGCTGACTACAAAAGGCTTAGGATGTGGAAGGAACTGGAACTGTAAACATGTTGCTTCTAACCACCATGCCCATGAATATGTCCATCACACAAACATCCTATTAATTGTGATAAGATGAACTCTTGATTTCCCACAGGTCTTCATACCTGTTGAGGGTTATGTTTTCTCTTACTCTTGGTCACTCATACATCTGAAAGTGGATTACTTCTCTTTCCATGGGCTACTTGAAGAAACCCTATTTATAATAATAAGAAACCCTGTTAGTAATAATAGGTGCCCCTGCCCAACAGAATGTATTTGCAAACAGCATTCTGGCAGTTGACCTCATCTGTGTATTTCAAAATGTTGGCTTCATTCATTGTGTCAAATTGCTTTTTGAAAATATCTCTGGTATATGAGGTTCTTCTTAGATTTTTATATTCATGGTTTTTAGTTATGTGGTAAGGCTGCTAGTAGAATTTACAAAAATGTATGGTAGTGGTGATTTATTAAAAATGGAAGAAAAAGAAGTTTTTATTACCACCAATATAAATGTCTGAAGTGCCCTTCTGAGAATGAAATTAAAGCAGACTAAACTAACCAAAAATGCCGTACTAATGTGTAGATAGTCTTAGAACCATGTAAACAAAGTGAAGATTCTGGCTTTGTTTTTTTATTGGCTTGAGTTTATATTAGGGACAAAATTATACATAGTATGTATACTAAATTTGGGCATGTTCAAATGAACAAAAATTTACTTTCTCTAATGATAGCCCTTATGTCATATTCCATTTAAGCTTTATTTAAACTAATACAATAATAAAATTGGTCATTCCCTGTGACCTTACCTCAGTAAGTCTTTCCTATTATTAATAGGAAAAATAGACGTTTCCTATCCAAAAATACCACTTTAAGGAATTACTTTTATTATCATCTGCCAGGAATTTGAGCAAAAATTATGAGCATCAGTCTGCCAAATTTTATTTCTGCCTTATTTTTAGTTTCATCTCAGTTACATTAAATAGGCTAAGGAAAAAAAAAATGCCCTGCACTGGCTGCCTGTGAGGCCTCTCTCTAGTCCTTGCCCTCTCTTGATCTGGAGAGAAGTGGCTTGTGTTCTTGCTTCGTCTCTGTAGGTCTCCTTGTCTTTCCAAATGACCTACTGATGGGACCCAGCACAGCTTCACTGCCCCTCAGTTCCATGGGGTCTACACCCATTTCAGAGGAAATAGTTACTCGTAGTTGCCCCTGTGGTCACACAGGAAGGGTTGGCTAAGCCTATAGAGTGCCGTTTACTTGCCTTTGCCCTCAGTTTCCCGGGCAGGAGTCAGATCTTGGCCCACTGCCCTCTTGGAGACAGCAAGCTCTCCAGGTAGCTCCTGTGAAATTCTCTTATTGACTCCAGAAGAGAAGGTGGCTTCCATCACCATTTCCCTAAGTAAGCATAGAGATTCTGAAGGCAGCTGTAGTTGTCTCCAAAAGAAATGTCTGCTCTTTTATAGTCCTCCAGTGAGTATGGGTGGGCAAGGATCTTGAAATAGGTTTCCTGGAAAGCCTGCATAGGAAGAATTAGAATTTCACTTGGGAATTTTGTATCTATTGACCTTGATGTCAAGGTGAAACTTCACTATTAACGACTTTTTCCTAGTTGTTGAAAACAATATTCACCATTAGAGACAAGAAAAAGAGATAAGAACCACCCCCCCCCCCCCCGCCCTTTCTTGAAGTACTCTTGAAACTGCATTAGCGCCTTCACTCTGGTGGCCTGACTTAATGATTGTGACAGCTCTGTGGAATTGGGCAGATTAATCCCAGTCTACAGAGGAGGAAACCAGGATTCACACAGTAAATGTTTAAGGTCCTACAGATATTGTGGAAATGCCTGAGGGAAGGTTCCTCCTCTCCCTGCTCCAGGGCCACAGGTAAGACACACCCATTTAATTTACACACCAGTGTTCACAACCCAGGACTGTCCTATCCAGTTCTCAAAAAGCTGCCTTCCTTTTGTAGACTTGGATATAAAAATGAGGTCATTTCTCTTACTAATGATTTTGAACAGGGCGCAAAATCTTAACATTGGCTGAGTCTTAAAATATGTATTTAATTTTTTTCAGACAATAGATTTTGAAGGTTTCAAGCTATTTATGAAGACGTTCTTAGAAGCCGAGCTCCCCGATGATTTCACGGCGCACCTTTTCATGTCGTTCAGCAACAGGTTCCCTCATTCCAGTCCCAATGTCAAAAGTAAGCCTGCTCTGCTTTCCGGGGGTGAGTGTAATTATCTACTTTAACAGTAAAAGAAAACTCAGAGGGAAAATCAGTCTCATGTTTTCTGTGACACAAGGAATGACTTGCCTAAAAATGACCTTTGTTGCAGGATTTATACTTTCATACTAAGGTTGTGCAAAGTAGTTAAAATGTCTCTGAAATAATAACTAAGCATTTGAGAAAGTGTACTTTCTATCACTTGTCATTCAATGTTGTAGAAGTCTTTGTTTAGGAAATAATTTTAAGAGATACTTTCATCAAATATGGAAAATTTCTCTTTTAAATGGATTTTATATATATGTACCTATGTATACACACATATAAATGTAACAAAGCATATATGTCTAGAAAACATAATATTTAACATACATTTTGCAAAGTACCAATGTACTTTTTAATTGTTACATTTGTAATTTCAGACAAGAGTTGATTTTTCTCTTAGACAATTAATTTTTGTCACCATAGGGATGATTAGTTCTTTTATGATGCATAGCTTTTCAGAGATATGTAACACATTAATTCCATTTGCTAATTATATCATTCTCCATGCAGTCAGGAAAACTGAAATCTCACCATATAACTCTAGAGGATGTGAAATAGGAAATTAGTGAAAACAGTGTTGGAGAGAGGAACAAATAAAGAATAGCACTGAGGAAATGCACAGGCTGCCCCTAAGTTGGGGTAATAACAACCCAGGCGCTGGAGGAAAGGACCTCCGAGCTGGGCTGCAAAGTTCTGAGCGGAGGGTGTGGTCTGGCAGAACTTCCCTGGAGGGGGATACGTTCTGACTGGCTTTGGTGGCTTTGGTAGCTTAGGAGCCTGAAGCCCTGGATGTCAGACCCCTTAGGAGCATCGCCATGGTCTGTGCCGGGTTTTGTAAGAAGAGCCCACCTGTGCCTCTTGTGGCACGGAAATAAGCAGAGACTAGAGCCTATTGCTATTGCTGCTGGAAACACGCACTGCAAGGGTGGAAGGCTGGAGAGATCTCACAGAAAGTGCAGGTGGACTAGCAGGAACCAGCCCCTTCTCTTTCCTGCCTTCTAATCTCTGTAGTGCACCCTGCGAGCCTAGCTGGTTTCTCACAGGCAATAGAGAAATGTAGTCTGCTGCAGCATTTCCCACACTCTGATCTTAGGGCTCTTTTGTGCCCTTGCTATTATTGATAACCCCAAAATGCTTTTATTTATGTGGGTGATATCTATTGCTCTTTACCAATTAAAGATGAGATGGTCTAAAAATAACCACGAGCAGCCTATTACATGCTAACAAAAATTACATATGTTTTTGAAAAATGACTTAACAACATTGAGAAGAGTGACATTGGTTTACATTGTTGCAATGTATTTATAAAGTTAGGCCTCATTGAAGATAGCTAAATAACTGTACTTGCTTCTCTGTCACCATATCATATGTTATATAGTCTCTTTGAAATGCCACTGTCCCCTCATGAGAGAATGAGAGTGAGAAAAGCAAGTGATATCTCAGAATAATCATTGAAATTATTTTGACCTTAGAAAATAAAAGGGACCCCATGAAAGGGGCCTAGGGAACCCCAAGGGAGCCGCTAACATCATAAAATAGAAGACGGAAGAGTGAGGAAGGAGATGAGGAGAAGTTGAATAACTGGAACTCAAATAAGTGAAAATCTTAAAACCTATCACTAAAACATCGACAATTCAGTCATACAGAGAACTGGGGCAATCCAAAGAAGAGTTCATGCTATTAACCCCTATGTTGTGCTGTGTCCCCTTCTGTTAACAAAGTTAATAGGTTTTTCCTGGAGCCATTTTAGTCCAAGCTTTTTTTTTTTTTTTTTTGTTTGATCTGCAGAAGGAGAGAATTTATTTTGGTTTGACTTTGGCTCACAATTTTGTCTTTTGTGTGTGTGTTGGGGTTATTAGAAGCACCTTCAATCCCACCACAAATCAGGGCAACTCAGAGACAGCTTTCTTGGCTGGAGGACCCATTGGTTTCTCCTGCTCCTTTGCTTTCTCCTCGTACATCAGGATCACTTTTAGTATGGCAGATCTCTTGCCCAACATCATCCTGAGACAGTCAGAGTAGTTGAAGGTCTCCCCAGAGCCACTGGAAACCTCCTTGATTAATTTCTTTAGTTCCAGATGGGTCTTGGGTACCCCAAGTTTCCCAAGCATTCACTTCAGAAACATGATACCGATATCTCCATTTCCATTCAGGTCAAACTCCATGTATTTCTTCTTGAAGGATTCCAGTTTGGAGGGCAGATCCTCATCACTGCTATACTTAGGATCATCCAGGAATGGCTTGTTGATTTCATTCAGGCTCTCTTCCTGCCTGGCCTTCAGCAGCCCAAAGGTTTTTCCTCCCCGTAAATCACTGGTTTGGTTCATAGCTCAGAAGATGCTGGTGGAGACAGACAACAAGTTTGCTGTTTCTCTGCCTGCTGGCTCTGCTCTCCCACAGCCCCCTGGGAGACCTCCCTCACAAACTTCCCCTTTTCTCTCATTGGTCCAAGCTTTTGAAAACAAGCATACACCTCCCACATACTGTATTTTGATCCCTTCAACATAGATAAAAATAATGTTTATCCTATCCTACTCTTCAACTACTCCAACATAACATATTTTCAGTCTCTACAAATCTTCCCCTGGTATCACGAATTGAGAGACTCACACTTGCTATTTTTCTCTGAGTCCCTTCCATCTAGGCTGTCCTTGAACGATGGTGCCAGCACTTTCCAGCGTTCTGGCCTGGACATTTTTAAATGGGGCAATTCCTTACTTTGATCTAGAAATTAATACTTCCCACTTCTCCATTTCATGCTTTGAATAGGTTTCTTGTACCTTAGACAGAAAAAATAACAATGTTTCCCTTATTTAATCTTTCACAAAGCAATGCTGTTGTTGGCTTTAAGAAAGGAGAAGGGGGGACATTTTTTAGTATGTTGTCTCTCTGAGTAACTGTGTCAGACAGGATGGAGAACGTAAAGTACTTAGGCAGTGTTGTCAGATATTCCGATCTCAAGCCCTCTTTTTTCAAATAGCATACAGTAAGTACTACACAGAAAATGCCAAATTTACAAGGAATAAAAATCAAATCAGGTCAAAAAACAGAAAAAATTAAGAAATAATAGCTCATACTTTATTTGGGACATTCAGACCTATACTTGAAAGGAATTGAAAGAGAGGCTGTGTAATCCTCACGCATCAGTAATGAGCTAAGCTGTGATTCATTTTCTAAGCCTGGCCTCCACCTTTAAAACATAAGTGCACAGTGTCCTCTGTGGGACTTTTCTAACCCCACATACTGGGGGATAAGGACCACAAGACACCAGAAAAGTTGTCAAGGCCTCAGTGTCCTTGACTCGGAAACTGAAAAACAAATGTCTTTTTATTCCTAGAACCTTGCTTTTCAGTAATCTAAGTTATTTACACAAGATGTATTTCTGGTTGATAAAAATCGCAGGTTATTTGTGAATAGAGAAGTGCTATAAACTACTTTGTATTCCCCCTCTTAGAGTTCACCGTATTTTACTTATTGCCACGATACCTTCAGGAGTATGAAAGCTGTTCTTGACTATCCATCAACTGAACCATGAAGTCTACTCAATAAAAGGAAAACAAAATTTATTCTTTCTTTTCTGTTTTTTTTAAATAAAATGTTATTCTTGTTCATGAATAAAAATAAAGTATAGGAGATAGGTAAAAATTAAAAAATAGTTTTATATAATAAAACTTAAAAAATTGTAAATAGGTACAAAGGTTGCATGTGTAGCTGTGTTTTATTGAACTTTTTTTTGGAAACATCTTGTTGCAATATGACTGCTTCTTATCATCAATTAAATATTATAAGATGATTACTTCTGTTTCCATGCTTGACTTTTGTTGTAATATTTTATTTATTTATTTTTAGAGAGAGGGGAAGGGAGGGAGAAAGAGAGGGAGAGAAACATCGATCGGCTGCCTTTCACAGGCCCCAAACGGAGACTGGGCCCCGCAGGCCAGGCACGTGCCTTAACCTGGGATCGAATTGGTGACCTTTCAGTTCACAGGCCATTTCTCAATCCATGGAGCCATGCCAGCCAGAGCTGGACTTTCAATTTGTGAAGATATCCCTACTGCACTCTCTTTTCAACATGATCATAGCCTCTTCTGCTTCATTGTAAATGCCAGGCCCCTGATCCCTCACCTCTTTGCCCGTGCAATGACCAATTTGTGATCGTACCTTCATCTCTAAATTCTATCATTTGAACTCCTCTCTACAGAATTGTTCGAGCATGTGGAACCTTTGATTTTCTGAATATGGCTTATAAACCTTTAGCCATGAATCAATACTATGATTTCATATTTCGGTTCCTACAGCTTGAACACTGACAAAAAACAGAGGGAAATTTCATAAATTTGCTGATTGTTGCCACTACGAGTTTCTAACACCCAGTATTAACATGGTCTTAACACCTGTTCAGTTTTTTTTAAAATCTTTTGTAAAATGTATTTATGCTTAATGTTTTCTGCTAGATCTAACAGGTAAAACTTTGCAAACCCTTTTTAGTGTACTCAAATCTTTCCTTCTCAACAGATGACATTTTTCTCTTCACATCATACAGAAATGTTCACTAACATAAAATACCTCAGTTATTCCCTACATAACCCAGGACTGCTTCTTCAGCTCACAATGAATATATTCCAATTAGCTGTATTCCAGAAGGACTCAGACGAAGTGTGTCTGAAAGTCAAATAATTGTATTCGATACAACCTTGCTTCTAATTCCTGTCTTCCCTCTTGCTGAAGGGAACCCAATCATCTATCAATTTTCCAACCCTAAAAATCTTGGATTCTTCCTCCTTGCACTGCCTCATGTTTAGTTAGTTCCAGCTGCTTTGTATTACTTGTGGCAGCTACTTCTCAGATATTCTACCTGTGTCAGTTTGATTCACCATCAGTTGCGTTATAGATGGTCACACTCATGGATCCCAGGGGGCCCTGACTTCCTATCTCCAAAGCGGACTTTCTAACACAGA